CGTGCACTTCTACAGGCAAGGAGTAGTCTTCAGCATTCGGCAACATCACTCTGAAGCGTTGCAGTAGTAGTAGTAGCGTTAACTATAGTCTTCAGCGCTGGGCGCTAGTAGGAGGTAGAATAGCGTTGGGGGGAGATAGAGATTAGGCGGAGGCCAGGGAGACTTACCTGCAGTGTCATAGCTCCAGCTCGCCATTGAGGTACCTGCAGCACAGCGCCATCATCACACGTGAGTACCTGGCACTTGGAAAAGAGAGAGAGAAAAAAAAAAAAAAAAACTACTTTTTCTTCCTCTTCTCAGTCCACCATCTCTCTCTTACCCTCTCGCTACTTGTCTTCACTGCACCAGCAGACTACGAGAGTGAGAGTGGTTACTTGCAGAGGATACATGTAAAGGTTGCAACGGGCATGTGGCCCAGGATCTGATTCGACGTTTTTTGAGGCAGGCATTGTTTGGACGTCGGCAAGGGACTATTTTGGACTTCGCTATTGCGATCTTAGTCTTCTCCCTCGCCTCCATCTTCTTCCTTTCTCCCCCTCCATCTCTCATCCGTGGTATCTCCCCATGTGTGTGTAAAGGGAGGGACCTTCTTTTGTGTATGAGGTCCCTCCTCTTCTTCTCACATGTGTGATGCATGATGGGATGTAGTGACAGTCCAGGTCAGGTCAGGACTTATCTCAAAATCTTCCGTTGTGCTATCAAATGCCATTTTTCATGTATCGGGATGTACCTTGTCTGTTGATGTTTCACTAATAGTATATTGTCCATTAGTTCTTTTCATCACATTGCGGATCCTTGGGTGAACACAAAGCCTAACTGGGCATGTAACAGTTGGTATCGGAGCACCGCACGTGAATCAGGACAACCTGATCTGGCACGTGTGCGGGGGACTAATTAGTTGATTAGTCTCGATTGATCGATTGATTGATTAGAGTACATTAGGTAGCCCCCAAAATCACGATTTTGACTTAACTGCCGAAAATCGATTTTTTTTTTCTGTTCTTGGGTTTTGTTTTCCTGCTATTTCTGTTGTGGACAATCGCAATAGCGCAACACCTGAAATTTCCGTTTTCATTTCATTCTGAAAATTCGAAATTTCACTGTTGGAAATCCGAAATATTTTTTTCAAAAATTTCGATTCCGCATTTCCTGTCACTTAGAAATCTAGAATACTTTTTTCGGAGTCCGTCTTTTTTCGAAACGGTACGGGAAAATCCCTCTGGTTGTTACCACTTTCCAAACTGCACATACTCTCATCTAAGTAATTCCGAATATTTTTTTATTTTTTTCCGCTAATCATTTGCAGTCTGAAAGTTCAAAAAAAAATTCAGTGATAATTTCGCACTTCAGGGGAGATTGGGAGACTTACTGAACTTGCAAACTCGAGATTTTTTTTGTGGCTGTTATTTTCTCGATTTTTTATGCAAAGTTCAAACTTTTCGTTCTTGATTAGTGGCTCCTTATCTGGGCGATTTATCCCACCCACCTACGTTGTTGCCCTCTGGTCTACTCTTCTTCTTCATCTGAGTTCGGGTACCCCTACTACGGCATTGGTAAGTTGCCACGTCAGCAGACCACATCAGCAGGACACATCAACAGACAATCATGCCACGTCAACAGCAGGGAGTGCCACGTCAGCAGTCCTCCGGCCTAGTCTATGCTCACGCACTCTCACACAGTCGTCATGGACCAAAAGGCAGGGGAAACGGACGAGGCCTATCAGACCCGGTTGTTGGACATGCTCGCCGAGGTCAAGGAACGGTCGGACGGTGCAGCAGCCGCGACAAAGAAGAAGGCAGAAGACGCAGAAAACGTGCATCTGCTGGCAATCGAGCAACAACGCCAGCAGGACGAGGCAGCAGCCAAGGCTGCAGATGAAGAACGAATGCAACGACGCAAAAAGATCTTCAACGGGGAGCGAGCATTACTCGCAATGGCAGTGAACTAGCGTACCGAGGGCGAGGATGATAAAATGGAAGAGAGCGAAAGCAAGATCGCTCTCCTCCTCTCCCATCTCATGGACCTCCTGGCAACGTGCATTGCACAACAGCAGGACATCCACAACCTCGATGCTGCGGTGCAGAATCACAAACGGGCATTGGACCAAGTCAACAGCCGCCTCCAGCAAGCAGAGCAACAACGCGTCACCACCTCCGTCTCCAGCTCCTCCAACACCTCCGACCGCCTCAAGGCATTGAAGATTGACTTCAGAGCCCTCAAGGACGGCGTGCAGTCACAACAATCCGCCACGCAACAACTGGAGCAGCGGATCTGTGCTGCCGCCGCCAACCCGAGTTCGACACTTCGTGAGACGACTCCAAAGTTCGACGGTCAGGAGATCTTCTGCGATTCGACGAAGACGACACTTCGTGAGACAACTCCAAAGTTTGACGGTCAGGAGATCTTCTGGGATTCGACGAAGACGGACCCGATGTCGCGGTTCCGCAAGTTTTAACTCACGTTGCAGCTACACCACATCAGCAAGCACAAACACCATGCATACTTATACTCCCGGTCGGGAGGCGCGTGTCAAGCATGGTTGGACAACCTCTTGTCCAAGTACGGTGTGGTAGCTATAGAGTTACACACCAAGATCAATTGGGACGATCTAAAGGCAGCATGGCATAAGCGGTTCCAAGTAGAGCCGCCGGAGATCAAGGTCATGGACAAGTTGACGACCTTCGAACAAGGCTTGCTGCCGAGTGTTCACTGGATTGCCGAGTACCAACACTTGACATTCGTCTCAGACGTTCAAATGGGCTTCAAGGCCATCAAACACTACTTCATCTTGAGGTCGTGTCCGACGTTGGGCAATGCCTTGACTCACGTCGACGACACCATGATGACAACAACAGATCTCTTTGACAAGGCCTCGCATATTATTGTCACGAACAAGGAGGCCAAGAACTTCAACCGTTCGTCTGTGACAGGCCCGAGCAGAGACCAGCATTGGTCGAAAGTGGCCGTGGTCGCGGTGGCGACGCCAAACGACCGAACTAGCAAGGTCGTGTCTGCCACTGAAGGGGACAGACTCGCAGCCGCTCGGGATGGTGGCCGCCCTGGCAAAGGCCGAGGACGCGGCAAACGGAAGACAAACACCACATCTATCCCCGGGCCTGGCGCACCAGCTCCAGCCCCATGGTTCCACTACGGGATCTCGGAGCAAGCTTACAAGCAACACACGAGATTCTGGTATTGTTTGTGGTCTAATAGCGATCTCCACGAGACAGTGGGCTCCCCGTCGAAAGACAAAGGCAAATCGGGAAACTGAGCGCCGCCGAGAGTGATTCGACGACACTCTCGACGCCTTCAGAGCGGATGGCTTCGTGGGTGACCGCCCTTCGTTCCAAGGCACAGGCGGAAGTCGATAATCCTCCTCTTTTGTATTCTTTTGAGGACTATGTTGCCCGGCTCGTTCCTACACTGGGTACTCAGGCCCAAGGACAAAACGTATGTGTGGCATCTTCCCCGTCCGGCAGCGACAACTTATCGTCTTCAAGTGGTTCTTTACAGAATTCGGCGCGCGAGTTCAACATAAAGGTATTAGACCCGCTCACGTCCGAGGATTTCGCATGGCTTCCTCTCCCAACCACGGGCTGCTTGTCGGGACCACAATGTGCAGCACTATGCGCTCATCTTCACACGTATTTATCCTTCTATGCACCACCAACTTCGCCGATGGAGGACGAAGTCATGGTGGGGGGCATCCTTGCGTATGTTACCATGGTGGCCCGCAAGTTTCACAAGCAGCGGTACGATGACAACAACGCACTGCTCCTGTATGTCCGCATCCAAGTTGGGCAAGCGTCCTGCAGCGCTTTGCTGGATAGCGGCGCGTCTCACAATTTCATGAGCCAAACCTTTATGCAAAGGGCTGGCCTTGGCGCACAAGTTCCGAGGAAGGCAAACCCAACGACGATCAAGTTGGCGGACGGAAGGACGCAACAACTTATCGACCGCTCCATCGAGGCCGTACCGGTGTATTTCGCACCTCATGCACGCGAACCGGTGACGTTCAACATTTTGAACACAGACTTCGACATTATTTTGGGAATGCCTTGGCTTGCAAGTGCGGATCACACGGTCAACTTCCACTGGTGGACTCTTACCGTTCGCGACGCCTTTGCGCCGAAGTGTCGTGTACCATTTCTCTTCCGCACCCTTCGATCCGGTGCCAAGTGGTGACGACCAAGTCGTTCCGGGCTACTTGTGCTTACGAGCAGCCCGACGGGATAGGCCTATGTTTCCTACGGACCGTCGCAGTAGCCGACTCTTCACCTACGGACTTGTCTTCGGACCCCCATGTGGTGCGGTTGCTTGACGAGTTCGCTGACATCTTCGAGTCACCTACCGGTGTGGTGCCAGATCGGCCGATCATTCACGATATCATTCTTGAGGCCGATGTTATGCCGCCGAAAGGTTGCATTTATCGCACGAGCGAGGAGGAGCTTACGGTCAAGGGTTGGATCCGCCCTAGCAGCTCCCCTTATGGAGCACCCGTTCTCTTCGTACGGAAAAGGAACAAGGATCTAGGACTATGTATGGATTACCGCAAGCTCAACGCGCAAACCGTCAAGAATGCGAGGCCTCTTCCTCGTATTGAAGATCTTCTTGAGCGATTGGGCGACACAAAGTACTTTTCCAAGTTGAAACTGAAATCGGGCTATCATCAAATTTGGATCGGCCTGAAGGATCGCTACAAAACCGCATTCAAGATGCGGTATGGGCATTTTGAGTGGGTAATCATACCTTTTGGCCTCCCCAATGCCCCGACGACCTTCCAAGCGGCAATGACCAACGATTTTCGTGCGATGCTGGACCGATTTGTGTTGGTCTACCTCGATGATATCCTTGTCTATGGCCGAACCTTGGAGGATGATCTTGAGCACCTTCGACGAGTGTTGGAGACACTCCGCCACACCAAGTTCAAAGCTAACCACGACAAGTGTGAATTTGTCCGGCAAGAGCTGGAGTACTTGGGTCATTATGTCACACCGGAGGGTATCGGCCCGTTGTCGAAAAAGATTCAAGCCATCCAAGAGTGTGGCTGGAGCCGTGAATTGTCATGAATGTCCGTTCGTTCCTTGGCCTTGCCGGCTACTACCAACGTTTCATCAAGGGCTATTCGAAGATCACAGCCCGCTTGACCAAGCTTCAATGCGAGGAGCGACAATTTGACTTTGATGTGGACGCACAGGAATCATTCTTGGCCCTCAAGGCCGCATTGTTATGCGCGGAGGTGTTGCACATCTATGATCCGTTGTTGCCGACACGTGTCACGACTGACACATCCGGCTATGGCATTGGGGCCGTCCTCGAGCAACATGATGGCATGGACTGGCACCCCATCGAGTACTTCAGCAAGAAGGCACCCGTTGTGCACTCGATTGATGACGCACGAAAGAAGGAATTATTGGCCTTCGTACACGCGCTCAAGCGGTGGCGACACTTCCTCCTTGGTCGAAGTCAATTCCGATGGGTAACGAACAACAATCCGTTGGTCTTTTACAAGACCCAAGACACTGTCAACAGCACCATCACCCAATGGATGGCTTTCATTGACCAGTTCGACTTCTTTCCCGATCACATTCCGAGCGAGTCAAACCGTTTCGCGGATGCTCTTTCACGGCGTCCGGATCATTGCACTGCAGTCTACTCGACTTTCGAGATTGATAACGACTTGCGGGACTGCTTCATCCGCGGCTACCAAGCCGACCCCGAGTTTCGCGACAAGTATGCGAATTGCCCATCTCCCAATCCGGCGCCTTCGCACTATCGGATCCAAAAGGGGTACTTGCTCGTCCACTCGCGGGGGAAGGATCTTCTTTGCGTACCAAGTGACTCTCACTTGCGTACACGGCTTCTTGGCGAGTTCCACGATGCTCCCGCCACCGGACACTTTGGAGTTAACCGTACGATTGACCGACTCGGCGAGCGTTTTTGGTGGCCCGGTCTCCTCGACGACGTCACACGCTATTGTGAGTCATGCGAGGTTTGGCGACGTTGCAAATCCCGCAATCATCGTCTGTACGCCGAGTTGCGACCGTTACCAGTCCCCTTGCGCCCAAGGGAAGCGATTGCCATGGGCATCACCGGGTCGTTCCCCAAACACAAGACTGGTGTGGATGGGATTCTCACGGTGGTCGACCGACTCACCAAGTTCGCCATGTTTTTACCTTGTCGCTATCATGCCAAGGCACCGGAGTTGGCCGAGGTTCTTTACGCCGGTTGGATTCGAACCAACAGTTACCCCAAGGACATCGTCTGCGACAGCGACACTCGGTTCATGCCCGATTTTTGGTTGACGCTCATTAAACAGTGGGGCTCATCTCTCAAGCCGAGTTCGGCTCGCCACCCCCAAACCGATGGCCAAACGGAGAGAGCGCATCAGACCGCACAGGTTCTCCTTCGCACTCTCATCTGTCCCGACCAAAAGGATTGGGTTGAGTGGCTGCCGGATGTCGAGTTGGCATACAACTCGTCCATCCACCCGGCTATCGGGATGTCGCCCTTCGAATTCGAGCACGACTCACCGGTCACTTCTCCGTTGGACATGATTATTCCGCGGACGACCGAGAGCGACGACCATCTTCTTTTCTTGCATCGGATGCAAGAGCTACTTATCAAGGCACGCGACCAAATGGCCAAGACGCAGCAACGTATGAACCAACACGCAAATCGACACCGTCTTCCTTGCCCCTTCCGCGTCGGCGACCTTGTATGGGTGTTTGCCGCGGAATTCAGCCTCGAGCAAGATATCTCTCGCAAGCTCCTCTCGAAATAGATGGGGCCCTAGCCGATCGTGGCACCTGCTAGGGACGCACCCGAAGGACCTTCATTTGTCATTCAGGTGCCCGCCCACTTGCCCGTCAACCGGGTCTTTCACTATTCCAAGTTGGCCCCTTACACGCCGGCCGAACATGATGACTTCCCGGGGCAACGACCTCAAGACCGACCCTCTATGGACGGTTTTCAGGAGGTTGGCGACATCATCTCCCAGCGACGCTACAACAATAGGCCGACCGAGTTTTTGGTACATTTCGCATACTGCACCTATCGAGCTTACCGTTGAATGACCCATGCGGAACTGCAAGCGACAGCCACGGACGTGCTCATACGCTATGAACGGAAGCTGCAAGGCAAGCCGATATCTTCGGCTCCACGTCGCACCCGCGCCTAGGTTCTACCTTCAGATCGTCGACTTCGCCCTCGACCCGGCTTGACTTCATAAGGAAGGGGGGGTGTTGCATGCTACGCCTGCACACGAGGACCATTTTTCAGGCCCTGCGTTGTTCAGGCTGGAAGCCTGAATTTCAGCTCGAATGCCTGAAATCCGGGGCCCACATGCCCTGTGTCAGTTCAGCCTAAAAAAGGCCTGAGCCTTTTCAGCCTGAGACTGAGGGCTATTTTCGGGCCTACAGGCCCCATGACAGTTCAGCCCGAAAGCCTGACATCCGGGGCCCACAGGCCCTGTATCGTTTCAGCCTAAAAAGGCCTGAGCCTTTTCAGCCTGAAACTGAGGGTTATTTCTGAGCCTACAGGCCCCATGACGGTTCAGCCCGAAAGCCTGCCATCCGCGGCCCACATGCCCTGTATGGTTTCAACCTAAAAAAAGGCCTGAGCCTTTTCAGCCTGAAACTGAGGGCTATTCTCGGGCCCTCATTAGACCGACCTGCCCTGAAACAAGCACGTTCGAGCATTGGCAGGAGCGACCTGCCCTGAAGCTTCCCTAGGGGCTAGCACACTCAGGCATTGGCAAGAGCAGCCTCCTGGACGGGCCAACAATATATAAGACTGGCCCGCCCTACAGGTAGGTAGAGGGAGACTGCCCAGGCACTCAACGTGCACTTCTACAGGCAGGGAGTAGTCTTCAGCGTTCGGCAGCAGCACTCTGGACCGCTGCACTAGTAGTAGTAGCGTTAGCTATAGTCTTCAGCGTTGGGCGCTAGTAGGAGGTAGAGTAGCGTTGGAGAGAGACAGAGATTGGGCGGAGGCCAGGGAGACTTACCCGCAGCGCCATAGCTCCAGCTCGCCATCGAGGTACCTGCAGCACAACGCCATCATCACACGTTAGTACCTGTGTGGCATACGGCGTAGCCACACGGGCCCTGCAGGGCCCGTCCCGAACATTCAGCCTAAAAGCCTAAAACTTAGGGCTTACAGGCCCCGTTCGTTTCACCCTGGATGCTGAAAAACGAGGGCCTGCAGGCCCTACCCCGTTTCAACCTATCTTTTCAGACCCAGAGTTTTCAGCCTGAAACGGAGGGCCATTTTCAGGCCCTCATTGTTTCGACCTGCCCCTAAGACTCGGGCACGGAAACAAGGATGCGGAACAGACCCAAAATAGTCTGTTCCTCACGTGCTCGAGCAGGAGCTGCAGTTGCAGCCCCTGCCTCCCTTCGGCAGGCTCAAGCGGCACACCCGTAGTACATAGGAGGTTCCCATGCACTTCACGGGTAGGTAGTTCAGTAGGCACGAGGTAGTATTCAGGAGATCGGCCGCAACACTCACGAGGAGCGTTGCAGTAGTCTTCAGCGTTAGGCAGTAGTGGTAGCGCTAGCTGTAGTCTTCGGCGTTGGGCGCCATAGCTGTAGTTGTAGTCTTTAGCGCTGGGCGCTGGTAGGTGGTTGATCGTAGAGTGGGAGAGAGACTAGCGGAGGCCAGTGTTACTTACCTGTGTCGCCATCGCTCCAGCTCCATCTTCGTGGTACCTCCATCAAGGCGCCAACTTCACAGGTTAGTACTGGACACAGAGAGAGAGAGAGTTCTTCTTCCTCTTCAAAGTCCACCTTCTCTTCTCACCCTCTCGCCACCTGACTTCTCAGACTACGACAGAGAGAGACAGAGTTGTGACTTGAGACTTGACGACATTGGATCCAGACTTGACATTTGGGATTCAGACATTCCGACGAGGGACTATTTGAGCTTGTGCCAAAGACTTGGTGTTGATGACATTCCCATCTTCCCCCTCCTCTTCGTCTATCCCCTTCCTCTTCGTCTGTGTATGGTATGGGCTGGCGCTGTCTTCCTGTGTGAAGCGCCAGACCCATTCACACCTTGTAGCGATGATGATGATGTATGTTCAGGGCTGCATTACAACATTGATTGTTCGGATCATTGGTATCTAAGTCTTCCGCTGTGTTATCTTGTACTTTGTATTGAAAGGTCGGTTCTTGTTCTGGTCTGCGTAGGGATTGCGGTTGCGGGGCTTGCTTCGTCGACAAACTTCGCAAGAGTTGCATACCGAGTGACATCGGTAATGAGGTCAGTCCATTGGAATCGTTGTCGAAGCCGTGCAATAGTGTGGTTGACTCCGAAATGGCCGGTGAGTCGTGCATCATGATACTCGCACAGGAGGCGAGTCCGAAGACAACGGTCGCGTGGGACACATAGTAAGTCCTTGCCTCTCGAGTGGAGGAGCAAGTACCCGTCGGCAATGCGGTAGTGGCTGGCCGGCAGGTGATCCGAAGATAGTTGTGCATAGAGCGTGCCGGAGTCCGGATCAGACTGATATGCCCGGATGAAGTGTCGCTGAAGCTCCTCGTCCAATGCGAAGGCATGATGTGTCATAGCGCAAAGATCAGGTMTTCGCGAGAGTGCATCTGCTGCGCGRTTGGAGAGGCCGGGGACATGCTTTGGTGTGAAGTCAAATTGGTCGATGAAGTACATCCATCGTCCGATCGTGCTGCTCACCGTGTCCTGCGTCTTGTAGTAGGTCAATGGATTGTTGTATGTGACCCATGTGAACCTACCACGCCCAAGGAGGAAGTGCCGCCAGCGCTTGAGAGCCATCACGAATGCGAGCAGCTCCTTCTTCCTTGCATCATCCAGCGAGTTGATGGGAGGTACTTTGTGGCTGAAATACTCCACAGGGTGTCAGTCGTCGCCGTCGTGTTGTTCTAAGACTGCCCCAATGCCATAGCCGGAAGCGTCCGTAGTCACTCACGTCGGCAGGGTGGGGTCATAGATGCTAAGGACGGGTGCCATGAGCATAGCCGTCTTAAGTGCTTGGAATGATCGGCGTGTGTCGTCATGGAATACGAATGGCACCTTTGGCGACTGTAACCTCGTCATAGGTGCAGCAATCTTGGAATATCCGGTGATGAATCGCTGATAGTAGCCCGCCAACCCCATGAATGAACGAACGTCCGTGGTGTTGGTGGGCTCGGACCATACTCGTAGGGCCTCGATCTTGTCCGCAAGCGGACGGATGCCTTGAGGCGTCACGTAGTGTCCCAAGTACTCCAACTCCTGCTGTGCGAACTCGCACTTGTGGCGGTTCGGAGCACACGTAGTGTCCCAAGTACTCCAACTCCTGCTGTGCGAACTCGCACTTATGGCAATGAGCTAGGCCGAATCCAGCCTTTCTCTGGAAGGTCGTTGAGTTGTGCGCGGAGCGCACTTAACTCTTCCTTGCTCATTCGGTAGATGCAACCGCGCGGAGGTACGCCCAAGTCCTCGAGGATGATCTTGTGGCGGATGGGTCGATCCGGTACTACTCCGTGCGGGCCTTCGAACACGTTGCTGTAGGCGTCGAGAAGTTCGAAGATGAGTGGATCCGAAGGTGAGTCCGTCGATGAAACGTCATGGGGCGGGAGGGCGTGGAGAAAAYACACCCCCATCTCCTCGATGTCGTCTCTGATGATGGAAGCTCACATGCTTGCGGCGGATACCACGTGGCAGCTGATCGAAGGATGAGGAAGAGGCACCGTGCATGGAACTAATACTTCGTTCCGGTCACGAATGTGAACGGTGCGGTTGAAGAAGTTCATCGGGTGATCCTTGCTTCGCAACCATGACATGCCCAAGATCATGTCGAATTTGGTGTCCAGAATGTCAAAGGACACCGCCTCACTTGCGTGAGGGGCAAAGTACACTGGACGGCGTCAATGCACTGGTCGATGGACTTGTGCGTATGACCGTCTGCCAGGGTGACTTGCGTAGGCTGGGACTTCCTCCGGACACGTGGGCCAAGGCCGGCGCATACCATGAAGTCCTGGCTGATGTAGTTGCGAACTGCTCCGCAATCGATCAAGGCACTGCAGGTCGCCTCTCCGATGTCGTCGTACCGTTGCGTCTTGAACTCGCGGTCGATCTTCGCGATGAAAACGTGAAGGTCGACAACCTCTGCTCCGGCGTCCATCAACGGAGTTGGTACTGCAGTGTGCAAGTAGTCCCGCAATTGTGCCATAAGCACATTGCAATGCGGTTTCGACAATCGTCCGGTCGAGGGAACGGGCATCCACTAGAAGTCCGTGAACGTCAATGGGTCGAGCTCTTCAAGTCTTGACCATGATGTCGAATCGCTGGCGATAGATTGCGGCGAAGCTGCCGAATCAGTTGCAAATGGTGATGAAACCGTGCATGCGGTGGACTGTTGCACGTGGAGCGGTTGGTCCAGCGGTGGAACCAAGTGGACAGCATAATCCTCGCAAGTATACCGAGGACTTGCGACATTCGCATCCTCCCCAGATGTGCAGGAGGCCGCTAGCAAGGCGGCCGAATCTGTCGGAGTAGAAGGTGGAGTCGCCTCACCTTCCGCGGAGCTCAGTTTCCCGAGCTGAAGCGGGGTCGCACATCCTCCTTGCCCTGATCTTGGAACAGGGAGGTCTTGTGCTTGGTGTTGTTGCACCAATAGCAGCTGCCGTAGCGGCCGCGAACCTTATACTCCGCCTCGGTCAAGCCAAACTTGACCCATGAAAACTGTCTTGGCTGTCCATTTCGGGCCTGCGATGCGGATTTCGCCTTCCCATTGTTGCGAGACTTGTTGGTGCTTCGCGGCTGGACAACAGCCACCTGATCTCCGTCACTTGAT